TCCTTTCCTTTCCTTTCCTTTCCTTTCCTTTCCTTTCCTTTCCTTTCCTTTCCTTTCCTTTCCTTTCCTTCTGTAGGATCTGGCTATGTAGTATGTAGTCCAGGCTTCCTTTAACTCATTATGCAGCCAAGACCGACCTTGAACTCACAGTGGTCCTTTTGCCTTAACCTACTCAGGTCTAGGATTGCAAGTGTGTATGTGGCTGGACTGTGTTTCTAAGTGAGAAGAAATGAAATGGTAACACTATAACATTAGTGCAAAGAACACATCCTACAACTTAGGACTGGATTCCCCTAAATAATATAACTTCACTTAGAAACAAGGTAATTTACATTACAAATTTATTTCATGTATTGAGCTACCTTTTGGTTCTACTCCTTCCTACACTAAACTTGAAATAAATCTAATTATTTCTCTATTTCATCATTAATTGCCTATTTAATTAATAGTTTCACAAAGTTTCATTCAAATTCAAATTTTTGACATACTTTTAGCATGATACAATATCTAGATTTTTGTACTGTTACTCTTCAAATGGAGTGAAATTTGTCTATATCACTCTACTACCTTCTGCCTCATTTCTTACCTCAAGAAATTGAATGTCCTAACTGAAATGGCTCAGAATAATGAGAGTTTATGACTTCAGTATTTTGTAGAGTTGTCCTGTACAATACAACAGGCATAAATAAGTTCTTCAGTTGTATGGACAAAACAAAATTGCTCGCATTCCTCTATAGTGTATTTCACTGTAGTACTTGAGTGTGTTCTAAAACTAGATCCAGTGATCAGGGAATGGTAGTGCGTGCCTAGAACCCCAGGACCATGGGAGGCTGAGGCAGGAGATTAAACCTAATGAACAAATCATTAGGCAAATTAACCAAAAAGGGCAAAGAAAGAGTCATCAATGCAACTGGAAGTGAAACAGACAAAAATCACAATAGATAGGACTAAAATCAACAAGATTATAAGAAACTACATCAAAAATTTACATTCCAATAAATTGGAGACTCTAGAAGCAATAAATAAATTTCTAGACACATATGAACTATCACAATTGATCTAATAAGTTATAAAAATCTTGAACAGAACAATAACAGGCAATAAAATAGAGGGAGCAATAAAAACCTTACCAAATAAGAAAAGCCAAGGATGTAATCAAATTACTGCTAAACTTAACCCGAACTTCAGAAAAAAACTAGCTCTAATACTCATGAAAGTCCTCCAGGGAATTGAAAGGGAATATTGCCAAAATCAAAAAGAATGCAACAGATCATTTGTTAAGGCCAGGAATACAAGAATGGCTCAATATATATAAATCAATAGATGGAATACACAGCATAAGGAGAAGCAACAATAAAAATCACCTAATGATTTTTCAATGGATACAGAAAAAGCCTTTGGCAAAATTTAACATCCACTCATGATAAAAACCCCTAATGAAAATAGTTATGGAATGATCTTACCTTAAACTGATGAATGGCATTTATGACAAATCCATTGCCAACATCGTGCTAAATGGGAAAACACTGAAAGCACTCCCTTTAAAAGCAGAAACCAGGAAAGGATTCTACTCTGACCACTCCTGCTCAATGTAGTACTAACAATTTAAGTGAGGTGAGTCAAAGAAGGAAAGGAAATAGGGATTTGCTGGGTGTGGTGGTACATGCCTGTAATCCCAGCACTTGGGAGGCTGAACAGGAGGATCACTGTGAGTTCAAGGTCAGTTTGGGCTATCTAGCAAGACTCTGTATAAAAAAGGATATTTAAGTAGGAAAAGAGAGAGTTAAACTGCTCTTATTTCAGATGACATGGTCTCTTACATAGATGACCCAAATATCTCTGTCAGAAGATTCTCAGATTAATAAATGAATTCAGGATAGTGGTAAGATGCAAAATAAGCACACAGAAAATTAATAACATTTTTATATACCAACAGTGAACCTACCAAGAATGGTAAACATTTATATTTTTGAAGCTTTGCTCTTACAGAAACCATGCAATAGTTTATATTCTGTGTCTTATTTATTTCACTTAGTATTATGGTAGATCTATCTATGTATCCTTCCATCTATCTAGGCATGCATATATGCCATAAAGAAGGGTACGTTTGAGTCATTTGTATGAAAATGGATGCACCTTGAGACCATAATACTAAGTAATAGCTCTGTAATATCAAAGCTCCCAAAATATAAATATTTTAAAGAGCAAGATAAAAGAGAAATGGTAAGAAACAGGGAGGTAGATTCTGTGGAGTTGGAAAAAGGATCTTAGGAAGGAGAAACAGCCAAGAGTGATGGGGTGAAGGGGTATAAAATGATCAAAATGTATCGCATGCCCACCGGCCCCACCCCCGGACATGCTAAATTGGCCACTGCGTCCTGGTGTGGTGGCGCAGGCCTGCAATCTGTGCCCTGGGGAGGCTGAAAACAGGAGGGTCACTACAGTCCGAGCTGCTTAGTGAGACCCTGTAACAACCAAATACATTTAAAAAATCAAAATGTGATATGGATATTTATGAATCCACAAACATAAATATAATTACTATGTACCTCAAACATGTATTAATAATATTGAACTAAATAAATTAACATATGGTAATTGCACATACAAAACAATTACACATCAACCACATAACTCTGCCCCTCAAGAACTAGAATAAGAGCAAACTAAACCAAAGTCAACAGAAGAAAAGAAATAATAAAGATGAGGGTAGAGATAAATGAAATAGAGTATAGAATAAGTCTAGTAGAAAAATCAGCAAAACTAAGCTTTGATTGTCTTAGAATTTTTAAAAAAGAAAAAGAAAGAAAGAAAATAAACACTTATGTAATCTCAGAAAGAGAAAAGTCAAATATCTAAAATTAGAAATGGAAAAGAAGACATTACAGTGATGTCATAGAAATGAAAAGGATTACAAAACTACTAAGAACAATTGAAAATGGTTAAGATGGTAATTTAATGCTGTATTTTTACTCAATAATAAAGCAATCTTGTGTTGTTTCTCTTTTCATGAAAAATAAATTTAAGTGTAAAAATTAAGAATGTTGTATTTATTGGGGGCTTGCGGGTTAGCTCAGTTGCTTAAGTGCCTGCTCTGGCAAACCCAGTCAGGCGCAGGGGACCGCGGTTCAATCCCCAGCTCCATATCTCCATATGCCTTACCAGATCCTCCCTTAAGGCAGCCTAAGCCAGTCAAAAAAATCCTTCTAAACTTTTGGAAGCAACCAAAATGCCCGTCATCTGAGGAATGAATGAAAAAGATGTGTTTTTATACAATGGAGTATTACTCAGCTATAAAGAATGATAAACTCGAAGCCTTCATATTTAGGTGGATGCCACTTGAAGATATACTCATAAGTGAAATAAACCAGACCCACATGTGTAAATATTATATAGTCTCCCTAGTGTAAGAATTCGAAAGAAGAAATAAAAATTGAAAAACAAAACACAATTAAATGGAAA